CTTTTTGACTTTTCAAGGGCAGTACCGGACTCAGCTGGTCTGAAAGGCCATGTAGGTCGGGAAAACCCGCAATTTTCCCGAGACTGCCTTTAACTAGTAGAGTGCTAGAATAGAACTCACATTCTTTTGAACAAAGTTCTAAAAGTAATCGCTCGCAGCTTCTCCAGCATCAAGAAAATACCACATTGAATGAAAAAATGCTCGTTAGCCTCCAAAGCTTGATCCAGCTTCGCTAGATTACCTTCTTTCACTGCCTCCACGACCTAAAAAGAAAGATAGCGCAACCAAACAGTGATCAGTTCGAAAGCTTACATCGTGGAACTCCTCTAGTTGGTACTTCTTCAACAATTCGACAGTTGGCATGTGACCAAGGAACATCTTCACAGGTATCAAATAAATCAAGATCAGCCTCTTATTAGAAAGGCATTCGGCTGGACAATTGCGAAATGCATATAGAAGAGATTTTTCAGCTAAAAATATTGAAGATTCAGTTTACAGATAAACAGCGTGCTCATGAATCTCTGAGTGGTTGTACCTAATGGCAAATCTGCATCAAACATCGCTTTCCGACCAAGGAAATAATTGTACGTGACTTTATCAGCCATGGAGAATGACTGATAGAGCGCTCCTGAATTGTCGATAGCGCGGATAAGCGGCTTCAGAAGGTTTAGCTTGTTAATCTGAAACAGATTAGCGTTTGTATAACTGGAGTCAATATCGCTGGTTATCAAAACGACCTTGAAGTATATCCGAAACAACTGATTGGTCATGTTCAAAATGGCAATTTTCTTCGTTGTGCTAGGGTCTGCCCTTCTAAATGTGGAGGAAAATTGCAAAGCTTATCTAAGACTTGCACAAATAAAATGTGCTCGCCCTGTCCTTTCCCTCTTGAACAGGATGCGATTATGTTAAATCACATGGTATAGCACAAAATTGTGAGTACTAGAACAAGTAGCTTCAAATATTAGAGGAAAGACACTCACACATCCGACGTACAAGCTCTATACGCTTCCATGATGTAGTTGGCAGATTGTTCGTAGTACGAAGAAACGCTTTCAACCTCATCATCCTTTTCAGTAAGCTCGTCTGCCTGAACAGTACCAACTAACTTTTGAACGTTACGGTTACATTGAATCAAATCTAATTTAATTTTGTATCTACGAAAACGTAGCTGTAGAATGTCTACACAAATTCTACAGCTACGTTTCATCTGGATAGACCTCTACCACCCCTGTCCATGTTTTAACAATCACCATCGTTTTAGTAAATGTTGCTTTTCACCATACGAAGCAAAGAAGAGTTCGCAGTGAAAAACAAGAGTATCCAAGCTTTTGTTGAGTCAAATGTTCGACTGAGTTATTTTTCCACAGGTGGGAAAGGATGAGAAAGCAAGAGCTGACACCAGCACGGCTGACATCGGAAGAGCTCAAAAACAACAACGCTGAAATGGAGGTAGCCCCTCAGTCAAAGCAACTTTTAATTAGATTATAGCGCATGAGTTTGAACGGTTTATGACGTTCTTCCTACTTTATAATTGCTTGCTTAATTGTCTACAAAGTTTCACTTGTTCAGTTCGTGTAATAAGCTCGGAGTCGCATACTTAGATAAAATGACAAATTGAAGGCAAGTTTCTATCCTTTTCGTTCAGAGTTCGTCAGAATGTGTCACTTGTCTAAAGTATATAGCACATTTTTTGTATTTTTGTTTCAAATCTTAAGCAACTAGCAAAAACGAACAAAAACCTTTGTTTAACCTAAGCATCAACGGCAGATTTAAGTGAAAGCCGCGCGGAGACTAATGGAATTCAAAATCCGAAAAAAATATCAACATACCATTTTGGCTACATTGCGGAGATCTGAGCAGAATTGGTAGAACATTGGCATAAACCAGTTCACTTCCTTCTTCTTTTGCAGTATCTCTTTGACGAAGGTTTGCATAATCTGGCAAAAAACTCTGTGAGCGGAGAGATGAAGCAAATGACAGATGAAACGCTTACATGAGTATGCGTGGTATAAGCAGCTTCATAGTTCTGAGTGACATGGATGTGATAAATCACTTGAAGGTGAAGACAAGCAACTTGATCAAAAGCTTCGTCATCGATGAAAGAACGGTTTTTTCTCGACCCGTAACCTTCTATCTGAACGAAAATACTCGTTTTGCCCCGTCTTTTGATTTTGAGGAAGATAAAGCAAAATATAAACAAAACAAAAGATCTGAAGTAAATAAAATTGATGTTTATACTCCATAAAGGTGAAACCTACATGTAAAAATGGCAAACTGCTATGGTCATCGTTGATTGCTAACAATTTTGCAGCATCTGTTGCGCTTGTCCAAGTCGCTGTGTCGATTAACCGATCAAGCTTGTCGAAATACTCCGCCACACTGGCTATTTCCATCTAAAAAGCTTTGATTGATGAAAATTCGATTAGTAAGCAATGAAGCGGTTGCGCTTTCCTATCGGAATCGAAAGAACACGAAGAACAATTCTGTCTAACTGATATACAGAGAAAAGTGGTTTCAAAGGCTAGCAACAAAAAAAGAGACCAAATTTCCAAGTGTTTTCCAACGCTCCGTTTTTTGA